CTTGCCTATTCCCAAGCCTCAAATTGAAGAAAAGGGTGGCAGATTGTCCCATCAGATATGAAATACCTATGAGGCATTCCAAGCATTCTCAAAGAGCAATGCAACAAGTTGCTGTCCTCTACTTGCGATTGGAGCAGAGTGGTAGTGGCGAAGGAACTGTCCTGATATTTCATTCAATCCAGCAAATAACAGAGACAACACCCCTCACCCTTCAATCTAACCAAAATATCAAGTTCTCTAGAAATGGAGACACTCTTCATAAAACAAATAATGATTTTGAGGCATTTTCTTTATGGCATGTGTTACCAAAAATGATTCTTTTGGATATGTAGAGGTACCAAGAAAACAAGGGTTTTCAGTATGTTCAATATACATGGAACTCCATCCTTGCTGGGTTAAGTACTGCATTTTTCCATCTGAACCTGCCAAGCTATTAGGATCCTCATCAGAAACCTTTCTGTGTATATGGGATTGACCCAGGATAGTACCTTTTCTACTGTAGCACCCCACCTCATGTATTGTCTCCCCAGGGAAGATTACTGGTGCAGTTTCGGTTACATTTGCAGCTCCAGATGAAGCCATTCTTAAAAAATCACCCAGGATGTTTTGTTTACTACTTTTGTATTTTGTCATATTGTATACTTGTTAAAATCTGTGCTTGTATTCCCCACTCCAACACTTTGTGGGGGGGGGGTGTTATTGGGGGATGTTATTGGGTTACTGTTTTTATTTTGGTTTTATATATTGTGATATTTTCTGTGAAACGCCCTGAGACTTCCGGGTATAGGGCGGTATATAAATTCAATCAATCAATTTGTAAAAAGGACTGGGAGATTCCATGTACATAACTGATTGAAAACTAACTAACAAACCAAAAGTAGGCCAAAAGATGTCACGAGTTGGAAGTACCGAGAGGAACTCCGCCTTTTCATCTGGCATTAGCAAATAAATCTGCAATCAGACTTCTCATTTTTATATTCAAATCTCCAAATGCAGATCCGAAACTCTACACCACGTGTGAAACACACCCACCAAATGAGAAAGAGGCACCTCTAATAAACTCCTTAGTGCCGCAGTTAAGATACCAACTTGGCACTGCCAAGTTCTTCGCGGTACTATTTACTAGAAAGCGGATGCTCTCCCTTAATTTTATTATCTCTCTTTCTCTCTCTTGTTCTAGATTCCACAGTATTTCCCAAACTTGGGTCTCCAGCTGCTTTTGGACTACCAAATTCCCATTATCCCTGACCATGGGTGGAGCCAATGGGGGGCAGCTGCTCCCCAAATCAAGTAAATCAATAACAAATACTTAACTGAGGTTCTGCTCCCCCCTTACATAAAGCCTGGCTAGGCTCTTGCGCCTGACCACTGGTATTGCTAGCTAGGGATGATGGGAGTTGTAGTCCAAAGGGACCCCTGACCATTAAGTCCAGTTGTGACCGACTCTGGGGTTGCGGGGCTCATCTCGCTTTATTGACTGAGGGAGCCGGCGTACAGCCGGCGTACAGCTCACCTCGTCAACAGGATTCGAACCGCCGACCTTCTGATCGGCAAGTCCTAGGCTCTGTGGTTTAACCCACAGCTAGCAAGACCGGGCCTGACCACTGGTCTTGCTAGCTAAGGATGATGGGAGTTGTAGTCCAAAAACAGCTGTTTGGAAACACTGTTTTAGAAGCTAAAAAGGGGACGGGGGGGGGGACGGAGGGGGGGCAAAGCGGGAAAGGCCGACACAGCAACAAATGAGTGCCAGAAGGGCATCGAAAAGTGGCGGGCGGAGAGAAGGAAGCACTTACAGAAGGAATGAGGGGGAATTAGGAGCGCCTCGCGCTGACTTTTCCTCGGCTTTTTCGCGGCATCTATTGGCGGGAAAGAACATCGTCCCCCCCCCCCCAGCTCCAACCGCCCTTCTCCCGCCGTTAGGGCGCACGCGCAAAAGGGGCGCTAGCTCTGGTGGAGAAAAGCAGCTGGCGCGAGCGCGGCGGTTGGCCGGGGCTGGGGGGGGTGGATCTTAGAAAGAAGGATAAAAGCGGGAAGGGGCTCGTGCTGACGGAGGGAGGGCGTGGCCAACGCCTGTCTCGTGACCAAAAGCGAGGCGGGGAGGGCGCGGGAGCGTTATGGGCCTCGCTCGCCGGTTTTGGCGGGAAACCGCCGTCGAGGCTTCTGAGGAGATTTCGCGCCCTCTCTCTTACCCGCCTCACGCTCGCCCACCCACACAAAGTAACGCCACCGCCTAATAAAACGCCTTTTTTTTGCCGCCGTCGGAGCTGCCCGGCCGCAACCGCCGGCCTCCCCGTTTGAGATAACCTGCCCCAACGGTTTTCTCAGGAAACCAAGGGTTTCCTCCCCATAGGCGGCCTGCCCCCCCCCCTCATAATACTAACCGAGGGGTCGGGCTCCATCTCTTTCCCTCGCGCGCGCCTATACACGGCGGTCTCCCGGCGGGCACGTTCCGCGCACGCAGCTCTTCTCCCTCAACGCAGCTCCAGGGCGAAGCGGGAGTTGGGGCAAAACGGGGGGCGGGCGGGCGCGGCAAACTCGCGCTCCCCACACGTGGTGGGAGCCTCGGCTGGGCGGAGAGGTGGGGTAAAAGCGGGAGGGAAAGGGCTTGAGGTTGTGTTTAGGGGACTCGGCGGAGCCTGAAAGTTAGGCGGGCGGTAGATTTAGTTGGCCTCCGGGCCCCCCAAATTACACCTAAGTCCTACTTTCTGGAAGCCCAGAAACTCGGCTTTCATCCATGGCCAGTTGTGAGCCGTGTAATCTCTAGGCAGGAAGAGAGGAACGACTTTGAAGATTAGCATTTTGTCCTATTTAGCGTTTCATCTCCAACCTCTCTCTCTCACACACACTTATTTCCATTCAGGTTTCTGAGCGGACCTCGGAGGCAAATACAATCCAAATATGAAAGCACAAGTCTTGTTAGTTTCAGGTTATTCACAAGCACATCCATATGCCTGTATCAGAAATGCTATCACTATTATCCTGGCTGGTTTCGGCCTAACGCACACAGCAGCATCAAGCATTTCCCTCAAGTATATGCGCATTGGAACAGCATTTTTAATGCTAAGAATAATAATAATTGTGCCCCACCCATCTGACAGGATTGCCCCAGCCACTCTGGGCGGCTTCCAACATATATTATAAAAACATAACGTAAAACTTTACACATTACAAAGCTTCCCTAAACTTGCTGCCATATTGTATTATTATTATTATTATTATTAATATATTTATACCCCGCCCATCTGGCTGAGTTTCTCCAGCCACTCTGGGCGGCTCCCAATCGAATATTAAAAACAATACAGCATTAAACATTAAAAACTTCCCTAAATAGGACTGCCTTCAGATGTCTTCTAAAAGTAAGATAGTTGTTTCTTTGACATCTGATGGGAGGGCTTTCCACAGGGCGGGCGCCACTACCGAGAAGGCCCTCTGCCTGGTTCCCTGTAACTTGGCCTCTCGCAGTGAGGGAACTGCCAGAAGGCCCTCGACGCTGGACCTCAGTGGGGGCTGAACGATGAGGGTGGAGATGCTCCTTCAGGTATACAGGACCGAGGCCGTTTAGGGCTTTCAAGGTCAGCACCAACACTTTGAATTGTGCTCGGAAACGTACTGGGAGCCAATGCAGATCTCTCAGGACTGGTGTTATATGGTCCCGGCAGCCACTCCCAGTCACCAGTCTAGCTGCCGCATTCTGGATTAATATCATATACAGTGGTACCTCAGGTTAAGTACTTAATTCGTTCCGGAGGTCCGTACATAACCTGAAACTGTTCTTAACCTGAAGCACCACTTTAGCTAATGGAGCCTCCCGCTGCTGCCGCGCCGCCGGAGCATAATTTCTGTTCTCATCCTGAATCAAAGTTCTTAACCTGAAGCACTATTTATGGGTTAGCAGAGTCTGTAACCTGAAGCATATGTAACCCAAGGTACCACTGTACATCTATACACATCTCTCCCGTAAGACTATTTTGTGTTAGTTGCCACTCGGCAGCCCATACTTTCTCCCAAAAATGGCTTCCGCACAAATGCTACCATAATTTATATACAGGATTTTCAGCTCCTGACTTCAGATATCATGGCACCTTAAGGCCAAGTTCTCCAAGCATGTCCAGTGTGCTCTCACCCTTAATGCTTTCAGCCATAAATTAATCTGAGTAAAAAAGTTAGGGTTATAGCTATGCGAGTTGGTAGTGGCAAAAAGGTCAAGGAAGGAAGTCTGGCTTTTTTTTTTTTTTAATAGCATGAGCTTTAGGTACTTCAAAACATTCTGAGGCAAGCCAGCCTTTACTCCTGGAAATACATGTGAGCACTAACAATGAAAACATAGACACAAATGGGTTTTTTCTGATTTTATATTCTTCCCTTCTATCAAATGGCTTGAAGAACAAATTATATACGGACTAGTAAAAGGCTGGCCTGTTGATAAACTGACATCTGTGGGTATTTTGTAGCTGAACCTATTTCCCACATTCTTCTTTCGTCCTTGTATTGCTAGACAGCAATTATGTATGTTAATCATTACACACCAGCATTATTTAATCATTGGTCCAACTAACGCATCCTAACAAATCAGCTTACATGCAGTCACAAAGCTCTGACATTGGTCCTCCTCACCCATTACAGAATTCATTTGAATGTGTTCGCCCTTTATGGACTAGCCTATAGGGGGAGATCTTAAGGTCTCAAGACCAAGCATTTTTTCAGTCTTTCAGGAGAATATTGAGGAAGAAGATAGCTCAACATCTTGGCTGCCAAAAGAGTATACAGTTCCATATTTTCATATTGCATCGTGCAGTTTAAACAGTTCACATTAATTATTCCCCTTCATTTGTTGCCTGTCGGTCCTTCCTTTTGCCACTTTCTGTAACATCTCAGCCTGCACCCCACGATTACATAAACTCTGTCCCCTCCTTGAAAACCTACCCTGCCCCTTCAATCCATTGCACCTCCTAGTCTCCCTCCTACTCCTGCCCCAAAAATCATCACCCTCATGCCCATACCGTTCCGTATTATCCTTGCATTGCTTATCTGTAGTTTTAGCCTCCGCCCCTAGTGCTGCTTAGAAGAGACCAGTGTTTATTTGCCATGCTTGGGAAAGAAGACTCTCTGCTCACCTCTGCCACCTCCCCTTGTCCTGTTGCTGCTGTCACTCACTCCGAGAAACTTGCTGTCCTGAAATACGCACGCTCAGCTCTCAAGAGTTACATAGATCCTCCTGCACACACAAACCACAAAGCGTGTGGAGTTCGGGGGGTTACTCACCTCTGCGCAGTGAGAATTATTACACCTTGGCCTGATCAAGAGCAGTAGCAGGGGTAGTATCTTATTTCTAAGCCCGGAGCAGCAGGAGGTGGCAGCATCTAGCCGCTAGCTGCAGATCCCTTCCTGCGTGCTGTTTGCTTTCTGACACTTGCATTCCTCCTCCCCCTTTCGGGGTATCGTTTTGCCAACAATCACACACGCGCACACCTGATTCCAGGCTGGTTGACAGCCAGGCTTCAACAGGAATGGTAGTAAAGAGGAATGATGCAAGAGTTTTCATGATAAACTGGATCATGAACATGTAACACAATATGTAAAATGCCACTGTGTTGTTGTGGCTGACATTTCTCTCACTGTGCCTTATAAAAAAAAGGTAAAGGACCCCTGGGCGGTTAAGTCCAGTCAAAGGCGACTGTGGGGTTGCTGCGCTCATCTCGCTTTCAGGCCGAGGGAACTGGCATTTGTCCACAGACAGCTTTCCGGGTCATGTGGCCAGCATGACTAAACCACTTCTGGCGCAACGAGACACTGTGACGAAAATCAGAGTGCACAGAAACGCTGTTTACCTTCCCGCTGCAGTGGTACCTATTTATCTACTTGCCTTGGTGTGCTTTCGAACTGCTAGTTTGGCAGGAGCTGGGACAGAGCAACCAGAGCTCACCCCGTTGCTGGGATTTGAACCGCCAACCTTCTGATCGGCAAGCCCAAAAGGCTCAGTGGTTTAGACCACAGCGCCACCCGCATCCCCAAAATTTGCCTTCTGGGAAAAACTAAGTCACAAACCGATGCACAAGTCCTAGTACCAGTTGTTAAATGTAATTGAAATAAACACCTAAGGTTTCCATAAAAGTGAGAAAATGAAATCGGAATGATAATTAAAAACGGCAGGAAGGACTGGGAGTGAGAGAAATGTCACTAAAGTCAGAAGTCATCAAAAGAGAAAAGATGGAAGAGTGATGCATCATTCTTACACAAAAGTAGTGCAGAAAATGAGAACAAATGCATTAGAAGTAAGAAGCGAAAAAGGTAAAGTTGACTGCCAAACTTGTATCTTCTGGCAGCACCATGAACAGCAATATGCAGCCCAAGTTTATATGTGTAAACTCCACCTACTCTCAGGTAAGTGTGTAGAAGACGGAAGTATTAGGTGGAAGAATCTTAACAGTTTTTTACTAGCTCCAAACCGGATTGATTATACAAGCACAGCAATAGGAACCAAGTTCTTCCAGAGGGCTTGAGTCGTAGTTCAGTGAAGCAAACACTGAGATGCACAGGTAAGTATGCATAGGACTGCAGTCTGAGATGCCACCATACTAGTAGAATAGCAGAATAGAACAGCATAAGGGGTTAAGAAAAATGGGCTGCATTCAAGCAAGGTGGCAAAAGCAGACAAAAGTGGATTAAAAAATAAACCAATTTCCTGTTGTATCTTTATCTCAGGGGTAGCTAATGTTCCCTCCAGATTTTGTGGAGTACAATCATCTGCTCCAGTGGCCAGGCATGCTGGGAGTTGCAGTCTAAAACATCTGAGGCCACTACACTGACCACCTCTGCATTGTCATATGTACATTCAGAAAATGTGTGACGGTACAACATCACATTTTTGGATGGACACAGTGTTAAGTTGTGGGTGAACGTATCAGACGACACAGCGATTCTTCAAACAACTCTTGTTTATTCACAGGCCAGAACTGAACTGAACTGAAGGGTTCAGCCAGCCTGCTTATATAGAGCTCCACTACAACGCAACTGTAACACTTTCTGTATCTATCCAATCACTGAACGTCACTTTCAATCCCTTATTTGCGTATGCGGACCTGAGTGAAAACTATCTACAGTATCCCCCTGCTGGCCCAGGGTGAGAACTTCAGTACATAACACACAGGTTCTCAGTCTTGCTACATGCAAGGCCTACTTAAGACAGCCAAAAACGACTGAGACCTACAAATAAAAAAACAATGGTCCCAGGCCAGCGTGTGTTAACAAAATGGTAGCAGAGACAGAGGCTTGCATAATCTTATGAAAAATACTGACATTATTCTATCATTTCGTCTTGCATTCTCATTTCGGACATAATTTACCACTCTATTTCATCCTTCCTCTCCTCCTTTTACTGGTAGTTATTGCCCAGAGCTTTAGATGGAATGTTAGTCAAAACTGTTCCCCCCCCCATGTTTTAGTTTTATGGTTTTGGACTACTTTTGGGTTTGTTGTTTGTCATTAACATATTTATATGCTGTGCAAATTGTTTCTGTATTTCCGTGCACTTCTCTGAGGAAGGGCACCTAAAAAGCATTTTACGTTTATTTGTTTACTTACTTACATATTTATAAAATGCACTGTACTAAAAATAAATAAATTATCAAGGCAGAACGTATTAGAACACAGCATGGCAATAAGATCAATGAAAGCACAATCAATAAATAAAATACTGGTTGGTAAAATAAATTCTCATCTTAAAGGCCTGTCTAAATAAAACATGGTGGAATTCAATGTAGAGCTATGATGAATGTTGCATTTCAGTTTGCCAGATGGAACAATCCCCAGTCTCCACCCTTCATGTGCTGTTCTGGGGCTTCTCCTGACCCCTCCGAGCCAATTTCAGCGACTTGGGGGGAAGAAGTGGGAAAGCCCTTTGTGCAAGTGAAAGTCATTGCACAGGGCTGCCACAGATGGGACATGTTAGGTGAATCCCACCCTCAGTTTTCAGGAGACACCCAAAAGAAAATAGTGTTGTGGTCCAACCGAAGCTCTCTTAGATAAAACTGACTTTCTAGATCAATTTAAAGCAAAGTTCAGGCATGGAAACTGTCTTTGTCACCCTACACCTTTATCAGGAGAGAGAAAGGGAAAATGTGCCCCTGTTAATCCTCCTTGATCCTTCAGCACTTTTTCATACCATGAACCATGGTATTCTTCTGGAGCAGCTGTCTCAGTTGGTGTGGGTAGCACTGTTTTGCAGCTGTTCCGGTCCTATTTGAATAACCATCTTCAGATGGTGATTAAATATGGATTATACAGATTAATGGAATACAGGTCTATCAATGGATATTAGCAAACCCTCCAAGTGTCCCTATTTTCCAGGGACAGTCCCGGATTTACAAAAGCTGTCCCAGTTTCTGATTTGATCCTGGAATGTCCCACTTTTCCTTAGGACGTCTCTATTTTCATCAGAGAAATGTTGGAGGGTATGGTAGGACGTCCCTATTTCCATCGGATATATGTTTGAGGATATGTAGACAAATAGAGTCTCCATTATTCAAAAATGGGGATGAACAATAGAGGAGAGTGTTACATCATGTCTTTCTTCTACATGGTGCCTAGTGAACAACTTGCACCTTAATATCAGCAATAAAAAGGAGATGGTGTTGGACTTTTGGAGGAAGAAAGGAGAACTAGCCCTGCTGTACACCAGGGAGGGCTGTGTGGTGAGAGTCTCTTCCTTTAAATTCCTAGGAGTTTATCTCAGTGAAGACCTTACTTGGAAAATAAATACAACCCAGGTGGTTAAGAAAGCCCAACAGAGACTCCATCTCCTCAGAGTATTGTGGAAGAACAATGTCAATCAACATTTGAAGATCTCCTTCTACTGGTCAACAATAGAAAGTGTCCTTTCATACTGCATCACGGTGTGGTATGCTGGTTTGACATCAACTGATAGGAAGTGCCCACAGAGGGTGGTGAATACAGCACAAGATATTATGGGCTGTACCGTGAATCCGCTGGATGAAATAGAAGAACATTTCCTCAGGAGAGTGAGGAAAATTCTCAGGGGTGATTCACACCCTGGCCGGCACTTTCTTGATCTCCTGCCCTCAGGCAGAAGATATAGAAGCATGATTAGTCGCACCAACAGGGTAAAGAACAGCTTCTATCCTTGGGCTGCTAGGCTGCTGAATGAAAAGATAACAACAGGGCAGCTGACTTTCGGGTTTGGTGTGTGTGTGTGTTAGTAAACGAGGGGAATTAAGACTAAGAGAGCTAAGTGGGGAGTGCTCGTGTAATCTCACTGTATACAAGTTGTACAAGTGACAATAAAGTATTTCAATTTCAATATCAATTCAATTTCTTGTGAACTTTCCAGAGGCATCTCGTTGGCCACTGTTGAATAAAGAATGCTTGTCTACATAGTGGATAACCTGTGATCCTCCAGAGGTTGTAGGACTCCAACTTTTATGTGCCTCAACCAGCAAGGCTATTGGCCAGGGATTATGGGAACTGTAGTCCAACAATGCTGCCGGGGGGGGGGGGAAATGTTCCCTATCATGCTGTACTAGTGTCTGATCCACCACCAATATATTGCAGACAGTGTCACGAGACCTTGTCCTTCTCTGTTTTCTGCTTCTTTGCGAGGTATCTTTATTTTAAAATGGATATCCTGCAAGCTGTAGCCCAAACAAAGCAAAGGGAGAAAGAAACTCAAGGTTGCCTTCCTGAGTTTTGAATTTAATACACGTCAGACACTGATTGTGTTAGGAACAACATATCTACAAGGACAACATTTGTCTGGTGCTGCAGAATGAAGAGGAAGGGCAATTTGTTCCTTTTCGGCTGTAGAAGGGAGAAAATCTGACCAAACAGTGATTAGTGTGAATATAACCAGTGCTTTTCTTCTAGAACAAAAGGATGCTGGTACTGCATGCTTTTGAGTACCCTCAGAAAAAAGCACAGAATATAACAAATGCTAATTTTATTAGATTCATATCAGCAGCCTTCTATCAGCAGCAAATAGTGCCTTTTGATTGGTGTGTGAAACACCCCTTGACAGGTAAACGTTGCAAATTGTTTTAAGACAGCAATGCTGCGAGCACAGTTGTGCAACAGCAAACGACCCTCACTGATGTCACATGTATGACTTTGGCCATCGGTATGGACTTGTGCTGAGGCCCATATACACATGCCAAATGCCACTGCGTTTTAGAGATGTCACATTGATTTA